TTCACTCCCCTCGGCCTCCCAAAGTGCGGGATTACAGGCTGAGCCACCGAGCCCGACGTATCCTGTATTTTTAATCTGGCAACCCTACCCAAAGGGCCGGCGGCAGGGAGGGAAAGAGGGATCTGCCTGAAAGACATCCCCTCCCCCAGGCTGTAGGTCAAACGAAATCAGTTGATTTGGGGGCTTAGGCGGACAGTTGGCCTCGTGGCCCATAGACTCCACTGTTTGGAGGTTGCTTCTTTCGTGCAGGGGTGGCCTTGACCTCAATTGTAGCAGTGTCAGTGAGTGCCCACTCCTGACTGGGCTCAGCATTCAGTGCCTCACTCCACCAGCTCCTTGAATCTTGTCAACAGCCCTATGAGTTTGGGAGATTACATTTGCAGCTGAGGAAACTGAGACACACAGTGGTTAGGTAACTCTCCCAAGGGCTCAACCTATGGAGTGCTGGAAGCAGGATCCAGACAGAGGTCTCCCTGGTCTAACATCTTAGTCACCGTTTACTTAAGACTTGCCATCTGCTGCCACCATGACTGCAAAGTGACTGTCATCTTAGAAAGTGAGGAAGCTGGCCGGGTGCAGTGGCTCAGCCTGTAATTTCAACACTTTGGGAGGCCGAGGCGAGAGGATTGCCCAAGCCCGGGGGTTTGAGACTAGCCCGAGCAACTCGGTGAGACCTCGTCTCTACAATAAATCACCAAAAGTTACCGGCGTGGTGGCGTGTGTCTGTAGTTCCAACTACTTGGAAGGCTGAGGCGAAAGGATCGCCGGAGCCCAGCAGGTTGAGGCTGTGGTGGCCGTGAGCGTGCCGCTGCACTCCAGCCTGGGCAAATAAGTGAGACTCCCAACTCAAAAAAAAAAAAAGAAAGCGAGGAAGCTGAGGATTAGAGAGATGAGGGGCTCCTTAAGGTCACACAGCCGGTCACTGTGGGGCCGGGCTTTCCTTCCCCGGACCCCACACCATGTGATGCTCAGCAGCCCAGCCCTGCACGTGTGAGAGAGGGCAGGGGAGAGACCACACACGCCAGGGAGGGCCTGGGGCGGTTCTCCGTTGACCACACTCCCTCCCCCACCCAGGACTCCCTGGGGGGGAACAGCCGCACGGTCATGATCGCCCACATCAGTCCCGCGAGCAGCGCCTTCGAGGAGTCTCGGAATACCCTGACCTACGCCGGCCGGGCCAAGAACATTAAGACCAGGGTGAGGGTCCAGGGCCATCCACCAGGGCACACTTCCTGGCCCAAGATTCAGCCCCTGGACCGATCTCTGCTCCCCACCCCACTCTCTGGAGACAGTCACCACTGCACTGGCCTCATTCCTCTGTCAAATGTCACCCATGGCCCTCCCCTGCGCCTCCAGCCCCTGATTGTCTCCCCTGAAGCCCAGGGCTCCCGGGGGACCCTTCTTCCTGTTGTACTTGCCCCACCTCACCCTCTTTCCTCATCTTCTCGTCTTCATCTTCAGATGCTTATTCAGACCAGGTGTGGTGGCTCACGCCTGTAATCCCAACACTTTGGGAGGCCAAGGCAGGAGGACTGTTTGAGCCCAGGAGTTTGAAAACAACCTGGGTAACAAAGCGAGATCTCGTCTCTATATCTCGTCTGATATTAAAAAAATAAATAATTAGGGCCAGGCATAGGGGCACACACCTGTAGTCCCAGATACTTGGGAGGCTGAGACGGAAGGATTGCCTGAGCCCAGGAGGTCCAGGCTGCAGCGAGCCATGGTTGTGCCACTGCACTCCAGCATGGGTGACAGAGTGAGATCCTGACTCAAAACAACAAAAAAGCAGATGTGCATTCAGACCGTTGCAAGTTCAAACACCCACCATGATGGCCATAAGAGGCAACCCGGACTGTGCCTTTACCCTGAGCCCTTTAACATACTGGCTCATCTGATTCTCACATCAGGCAGGTGTTACTGTGGTTCCCATTGTACAGGTGAGGACAGTGAGACTTAGGGAAGTGAAGTGACTTCCCAGCTGGTCGGTGACGGCGCTTGAGACCGGAATGGGTCGTCCAGTTTCCAAGTCCATTCCTTACCTTCTGTAAGCAGCCAGAACCCCTGCCTTCTGGTCTGGAATCTGTTTCCACCCGTTTGTGTGCAGAGGGCTGGGAATGGATAAACGTAAGGTGACATGCTGGGAGCGTTCCTCCAACACGTAAAACGTGCCAGCTACTGTCCTGGGTGCTCTGGGTTTTATTCCATCCCTCAGAGAACTTAACGTGGGAGAGGAGGCATATCCTTGAAATCATTAGTTGATGGTCACAATAGTATTGATAACAGGCAAATGAGGCCAATGTTAGGTGCTGGACAAGTCAGGGAGGCAGTGGGCTGGTGGAATCCAATGGGGCTCTCTGGAGACTGAGTGGGATTCTGAAGGATGGGAGAACATTCCAGAAGGATGGGAGCAGGCAGGGCAGAGTTTCCAAAGGCGAGAGGGGAATGGAGTCTGGGATGGGACGGGGAGAGCAGACTGGTTCCTCTCCTAGAGCAACACAATGAGCAAAAGAAAGTCAGAGATAGCAGCGGGCCCTGATACCAGGTGAAGGAACGGGGGCAGTGTCCAAAGCAGTAGGGAGCCACTGAAGACCGATGAGCAGGGGAGGAGGCGCTTTAGGAGAACGGACCTAGCAGAGGCACGTAGGTGTGATGGGAGGTTGTGGGGCTGGAGGCAAGGAGGCCATCCAGAAAGCCTGGGAGAGGCAGCAGGAAGGAAGGCAGGCCCCGCAGGCAGCCTCAGCGAGCGTGTGGAGGCCAGCCTCAGCCCCTGGGGTGACTGTCCCCCGGCCTTTCCCGTGGTCCCCAAAGGTGAAACAGAACCTGCTCAACGTCTCCTACCACATCGCCCAGTACACCAGCAGCGAGCGTGTGGAGGCCAGGCTCAGCCCCTGGGGTGACTGTCCCCCCGGCCTTTCCCGTGGTCCCCACAGGTGAAACAGAACCTGCTCAACGTCTCCTACCACATCGCCCAGTACACCGGCATCATCGCTGACCTGCGGGGCGAGATCCAGCGTCTCAAGTGCAAGTTTGACGAGCAGACCAGACGGGGCCCGGCCCGGGGCCGGCTGGAGCGGGGCGACATCCGCCACATCCAAGGTGCGAATCCAGACTCGGGCTCTTTCGGGCTGGGCGGCGCTAGGTGAGTCGCTCACCTGCACTGAACCTCCTAGCCTCCCACTGGAAAATGGGATGGTGAATGTCTGCTTCAGAGAGTTGTCATGAAAACCGGGGGTGTGGGGCACATGAGTAGAGGCACGTGAGATGTGCCGGGTGTCACACAGAGGCTGCGGCATAGGGCTGTGAGGCCGAGCCGCACCGCCGGGAGGGGTTCCGTTCCCTCCTAGACCTGCATGTTCACTACGAGGGCAGCACAGTTTCTTTTTTTTTGGAGTTGGAGTCTCACTCTGTCGCCCAGACTGGAGTGCAGTGGCCGCTCACGGCCACCACAGCCTCGACCTGATGGGCTCTGGCGATCCTTCCACCTCAGCTTTCCGAGTAGCTGGAACTACAGGCGCGCACTACCACGCCCAGCTAATTTTTTATTTATTGTAGAGATGAGGTCTCGCCAAGTTGCCCAGGTGGGTCTCAAACCCGCGGGCTCAGGCAATCCACTCACCTCAGCCTCCCAAGGCACGGGACTACAGGCTGAGCCACCGAACCCGACTTTATACTTTTCTTTTTTTTGAGTTGGAGTCTCACTCTGTCACCCAGACTGGAGTGCAATGGCACGCCAACAGCCACTGCAGCCTCAACCTGCTGGGCTCAGGCGATCCTTCAACCTCAGCCTTCCAAGTAGCTGGAACTAACAGGCATGTGCTACCACACCCGGCTAATTTTTGTGATTTATTGTAGAGATGAGGTCTCACCAAGTTGCCCAGGCGGGTCTCGAGCCCGTGGGCTCAGGCAATCCTCCCACCTCAGCCTCCCAAAGTGCTCAGATTGCAAGCTTGAGCCACCACGCCCGGCTAGGGCGCCTTTTCATGGTCGGCACAAAGGTGCTGTAAGGGCTAGCGGAAGCCCAGTTCATAGGAGGAGCTGGGAATCCCCTTGGGCTGCAGCCTGAGACTCAGGGTGGGAGTGGGTATGGGAGGAAACAGGAACCCAGGAGTTCTTTCTGGAGGAAGTGTTGGGCAGGAAGTGGGAGCAGTGGCTTGGGAAGAGAGGGCCCCAGTGCGCCCAGACTCTCCCGGCCTGAACCTGCCTCCCCGCCACGGACTCTCCCCCCCCCACTGTCCGGACAGCCGAGGTCCAGCTGCACAGCGGACCAGGCGGGCAGGCTGACATGGGGCAGCTTCGGGAGCAGCTCATCAGCGCGTTCCAGGAGCAGATGGAGGTTCGGAGGCGCCTGCTGGAGCTGGAGCACCAGACCATGGAGGTCCAGATCGACACCTCCCGACACCTGCTCACCATCGCGGGGTAGGCCCCCTGCCCTGGGTCCTCCAGGCCCCTCCCCCGGCCCCCGGGGCCTGTGGAGAGGGGCAGGAGCGGTGGCTGCCCGTGGCACCGGCCCCCACGGCTGAACCCTGTGTCCTTCCGGGTGGGGCGGCGGCAGCTGGGAGCACGAGAAGTCCCGCCGGGCCCTCAAATGGCGGGAGGAGCGGCGGAAGGAGTCCTACACCAAGGACGACAGTGAGAAGGACTCGGACACTGGCGACGACCAGCCAGACGTCCTGGAGCCCCCTGAGGTGGCCACGGCCCGGGAGAGCATCACCGCCCTGATGGGTGAGCAGAAGCGGCTACAGAAGCAGAAGGTGTGCATGGTTTGGGGGGCAGGAAAAGCGGGTTTGGGGAGCTGGGGACGGGGGGGCGCAGCGAGGCCTGGGAACTCAGGCCCAGAATCCTGTGTGGCCTCGCTAAGTTCTTGAACCTCTCTGGGCTTCATGTTCCTCATCTTTCAATGGGAGTAGGCATGATCCAGCCTCCGTGGGGCTGTTAGGAAGATTAAACAAATGCCTGGCACATGCTGAGGACTCAACACACGGTACCTACTGTTGTTGTTATTTTTTTTTTTTTGAGTTGGAGTCTCACTCCGTCGCCCAGACTGGAGGGCAGTGGCCGCTCCGGGCCACCGCAGCCTCGACCTGCTGGGCTCCGGCGATCCTTCCGCCTCAGCCTTCCGAGTAGCTGGAACTACAGGCGCGCGCTACCACGCCCGGCTGATTTTTGATCTATAGTAGAGATGCGGTCTCGCCAAGTTGCCCAGGCGGATTGCCCAGGCAGTCCACTCACCTCAGCCCCCCAAGGCGCGGGATTACCGGGCCCCGGGGGTACCTACTGCTATAATTAGGGCTTCCGG